CTTCTCTAGGATCACGAATAATAGGCTCAAAGACCTTTAATTATGGCTAGAATCCATTTATGAGTGAATACATACCATATTCCTCTTTTTGGGCCTGGCTTACCTGACTCAGTAAAGCGTTTTATTTTCTTCTTTTATTATTATTATTATTATTTTTAAATTTTTATTTATTTATTTATTTTTGTTCTGGATAATTCTTATTCTTTTTTCCTTCTTTCCACCCTTTCTTCCTCCTCATTTTCTCTTTCCTCTCCCTCCTCCGGTTTTTCTTTTCTTCACTTCAAGCACAGTATATAGCTAAGTTGACCTTGAGCTCCTGGTCCTCCAGCCTCTGCCTCCTGCTCGCTAGGTTTTTAGGCGTGTGCCATCACACCTAGTTTCTGTCCTTTTTTCTCGTCCACCCTTGTGAGTAGGCACTTTTCTTCTCTTTCTCCTTGTGCACAGAAGGTACCTGTCAGGTACTTTTATGATGTCAGGCGTCATCTTTCTCTTCTACTATCTAGGTTCTCTTGGGGTCAACCTGGTGAAGAATTCCTCAGGTTTCTGGTTTTTTTCTTGGAAAACCTTTATTTTTCTTCATTTCTGAAGGATAGCTTTGCTGGGTATAATATACTTGGTTGGCTTTTTGTTGTTGTTGTTGCTGCTGCAGGACTCTGTGTGTCTCATCCCACTCTCTTGCCTTAAGGAGAGTCTTTTCTAACTAAATCTTTAGGAGGCCTTTTGAACTTTCTGGACTTGGATGTCTATATTTGCTTCAAGTGATCTGGAAAGTTGTCCTTGATGAATTCAGTAGGTTTGCTGTGCCTCTCCTTCCCAGTCCCCTCTTTCAAACACCGGCACTGTGAATGTTTGCATAGTGAATGCTTTCTTGCTTAATTGTCTGCTGTATGTCCCATAGACTTTGTTTTTAGTTTTTCTTAATTTCCTTAGTTTTCGTTTTTCTGATTTGGTTATTTCAAAGACCTATCTTCTTACTTAGAATTTTCTTCTGCCTGCTCAACACTGTTGAGGCTATCTACTGTTTTGTTTTTTTTTTAAAACTTAATGATATCATTAGTGCCATGATTTTTCTTTATTTTATCTATATGTATGCTGAATTTCTCACTCATATAATGGTTTTCCTTTTTTAAGTTAATTGATGTTTTTATTCTCTTGTATCTCATTAAATTTCCTTGTAATCATTTGTTTGAATTCTTTGTCACACAATTTATTAGTTTTCCTTCCTTTAGGGCCCATTGCTAGCAAATTATTGTGTTCCTTTGGAGACATTGGGGAGTGTAGTTTTTCATGATTCTTAAAAGAATCCAGATTTCAACTTACTAAAAAGGTTTTTTATGATTATTTTGCTTGTATATATGTCTATGGCTATGTATGGGCCTGACATCCTTGGAGGCCAGAAGAAGTTGTTGGATCCCCTAGGACTAGAACTACAGACATGTGGGTACTGGTAATTGAACCCAGGACCTTTGGAAGAACAGCCAATGTCTCAGTTTATATTTGAGTATCTGATGGGTCTCTTGTATCTACCTTAAAAAAAGGATATTCCTAATTTGTTGTGAATCTTAGAGGAAAATCTCAGATTTCCTTCACACAGTATGCTATTAAATGTGGGTTTGACCTACATGATTTTATTTTTTAAGAACTACCTATTTATTGTTTTTCATATACCAGTGCAGGCACACGAGTGCCTCATCGTGTTTGACGTGCCCTCGTGGAGGGCAGAGGGCGGCTTTTGGGAATGCTCTCTGTGCACAGTGGGCTCCGGTGCTCAAATTCAGGTCCTCGGGCTTGCTCAGAAGTGCTTCTGCTCTCTGGGCCATCTCGTCAGCCCTCCAGTTTTATGTTGTGAGCATTTTAATTGCTTTTATGAATAAATAAACTCCTATACGCCATCCTTTTTAGCATCTCATTTATATTCTCACCTTTCTTCGGCTTTCCATGGTGCTTTGTGTCCCCTGGGGACCTTTTATTCTTGTTTGAATTTTGATCAGCTGGAGTCTGCTCTCCATTAGAGTATGGTTTCTCAGGGACAGGCGCTTTCTCTGGTGTGTGTAGCGCCTCCCAAGTGTCCCATACATAGTGGCACAGACAAACACGCTTGCATTTTGTAGATGACCGGGACTTCTGGCTCTGGGATGGCCAGATGAGGTTTAAACAAATGACTAGAGATGGCAACTGTCCTAGTTTCATTTCTCTTGTGATAAAATACCTCGATGAAAAGCAACTTAGGGCAGAAAGTCTTTATTTTAGCTCACAAATCCAGGGTACAGTCTGTCATAGCTGGGGAGTTGGGGTGGCAGGCAGAAACTCGAGACAGTTGGGCATGTCACACCCACAACCAAGCTCAGACGGAATGAGTGCACAGTGCTTCTGATACTTAGCTTACTCTCTCTGCTCTTTTACGATTCTGAGCCCAGACCCAGGGACTAGAGCAACCCACAGTGAGCTGGGTCTTCCCATACCAATGAACCCTGCAAATGAGTCACAGGTCAATTTTACCTTAGCAGTCCCTGACTGAGACTCGCTTCCCAAGTGTTTTCTGATGGTGTCAAGTTGATGGTTAAAGCTGACCATCACAGGAGCTGGAGGGATGGCTCGGCAGTCAGGAGCGCTTGCTGCTCTTGCAGAGGACCCAGGTTCAGTTCTTGTCAGCCATGTGGTGGTTCACATGTTTGTTTTTTTCTTTTTTCTGTTTTTTCAAGGCAGGGTTTCTCTGTGTAGCTATGGAGCCTGTCCTGGAACTTGCTCTGTAGAACAGGCTGGCCTTGAATTCACAGAGATCTGCCTGCTTCTGCCTCCCAAGTGCTGGGATTAAAGGCATGCGTCACCATGCCTGGCTATTTGTAATTCCCATTCCAGAAGGTCAGATACCCTCTTATGACTTTCAAGGGTACCATGCATACACATGTTACACACATATCCATACATGTACATATATACATATAAAATCAAATAAATAAATCTAAACAAAGCAAAACAAAATTGACCATCACAACACCTTAATCCAATTTTCTTTACATCTGTTAGCTGTGTGACAGGACACATCTTCTGTACCCAATTCCCCAGGGAAATCAATTTTGAGTTGGGGTTCATTATATAGATTAATTAATATATTCAATTAACATATATTGTTCATATTCATCATGGTACATTTGATGTGCGCAAGGCAACAGGAATGGCAGCGATTTTACCTCCAGGGAGCTTACAGTTTAGAAGCAGGCTGGCCAAAAGTCAGAGAACACACCATAGGACGTCAAGTTTCTGCTGTGATATGTATTATGATTATCACGACGGTGCTGTGATGGAAGGTGTAGCGTGTTCACATAAAGTGTCTTAGCCTGAACTGTCTTTGCATTGTGGCACAGATCTGTCCTTTTGTGAAATAGTCCGCAGCGTGTTTCTCGTCTTTTCTGACTTCCCATTCCCTTGGACCAACACCACTGAAGTCAGTTGTGTCTGTTCACGACTTCAGACCTACAGCTCCCTGCAACATTCCTGCTCATCTTAGCCAGGGTCATCTAACATGGAGTTGGTCTTTTCTCTATCCTCCTTTCCTCTGGCTCCTTTGGGGAACCCTGGTCTGACTTGGCTCTGCTCTTGGGGAAGTGAATAAAATGACCACCAGGGGGCGGAAGAGTCCCGTCATAGGAGCTGCTCAGGAGAAAAGTGGGAGAAATAGTTCTGCAGGGGCTGGGGAGTGGGGGGGGAGCGGACAGAGGCTGTAGAGGTGGCTAATGAGAGAAAGAGATGGACTGTGGCTTCAGTTCTAAGAGGAACTCTTAAAAAATAAACACCAAACTTGCTTTTCATTTACTCTTTTAGAAAGTCAGGGAAGGCTAGGGAAGGATAAAGGAGGGAGTGTTTCTGTGTTCCTGTGGCTGGGGTCCTGGTGGCTCTACAAGGACATGAGACGTCTCCTCACTAACTGTGTTTCCCTCTGACCAGTGTGTGTCCAGCACGACGCTGCTCATCTCTACCTTACCATCTGGAACCTGACTAAGGACCAGATCACTGACGTGGACTTGGTAAGGGCTGGGATCTGGGGAAGTCAGAGATGTGAGATGTGGCTTGTGGGACCTGCTCCACTACTGTGTGCACTATGAGCAAGGAATGAGTCTTGCTTGGTGCAGCTCCCTGGTGTGGTTATCTGTTATGGGAAATCCACGTGTGTCTGTTTAAGGGGTACCAAGGATTTATTAAGACATGAAAGGGGAAAAATACACTCACACATATGGGATATGGTAAATCCAGTTGCAGAGCCCTTGGAAAACTGGGAACCAATCACATGCTGCTTCATATCACCTGACTCGGTCTTCACCCCCCAAGAGAGAGTGACCTTTTCTCTCTTTCCTTTAAAGAGAAGGATGAAGAAGAAAAAAGAGAAGAGTGATCTTCTCTTCCTTAAAGAGAAGTGATGAGAAGGTCTGCCTCTTTTGGGCCAGATAGCCCAAGGTCATGGGCAGAGTGAATACCCACTACATTTCCCCTTTTTGTCTAAATAAGAAGGTTCTAAACATAATGCAAAACCATATACAATAAAAATGGTTATCAAGTTCAGTTCAGGAGAAAGAAAGGGTAATAGCATAAATAAAAATGGAACTACCACCAACAAGACAAAGTCAAGTAAGAAACACATACTAAATGTCCAGATCATAGGTAAATGGCAAATTACAGAGATTACTCCAATACCTGTCTTATCCTGAAGAATCAGCATCTAGTGCCTGATATACTCTTAGTTAAGATATAAGAGGAATGTAACTGTAACCATTTAGTCTTCAATCCCATTGAAGACCTGAGAAGGAAAATATTACCTGAGTAAGCAGGAAGTGCAAGCAAGCAATTTTTGAAAAATGCAAGAAAAGGCAGAGATAGCTGGCTGCCTGGACAATCACCCAGTGTTATTCTGCAAAGTTAGAGCATCCACTTTCGGCTACAGGCCCAGAATATCTGACAGACCATTTTCAGAAGCAGGGAATTTTGAAATGCTGTCCTACCCTGTCTTGGCAAGGTTCAGTAGTCGCTTTTTCTTGTGTCCTGCTCATCTGGAATGGACAGCACGCTTACTGCCAGCGGCAGAGGCAAGGGCAGTTCTTTGTCCAACAGGTCATTTTGCCAAGAAGTAGACAAATTCCATATGGAGTGTCTTGGATGCCCAACATCCTCTTGGGAGTAGATTGGTGCTGCCAGGAGCATTTGTGTCTCATGTCAACAGAATTCTAAGTTATTAAAACACTTATCTAGGTCTATGAAGTGTTTGAAGATTACCTATCCATCTGTCATATATTTCTGTATATCTAGAAAACCTAACTAACATGACTATAAGTATGACAAGCATGGCTGACTGTTAACCTATAATTCTTACTAACCTAAACAGTTTAAAGACTAAGGCTTCACATATAAAAACAAACAGTCTGTAAACAGACCCACTACAGTTATATTTGTGTGCAGGGAAGCAAAATTTTGTGTCAGTCATTTCTAGAGTTTCTGTCTAAAATTCACTTGTCCTGACCTAGCATGACCTAGGTCATCTGACCTCCTTGCTCTCTCTTCTTGCAGGCAGAGCGCCTGCAGACTCTGTTTGCAATCTGGACGAAGGAGTCCCTGATTTGTTTGGGCTGTGACGCAGAGAGCAGCAGAATCAGTTGGCTGCTCACTCTCTCTCTTCCTCTTTTTGACGTGGACTCAAAGCCTCTGAAAACACTGGTGAGAGACTTCTCATAAGAGACTTTGTGCATCCCGAGGTAGCCAGTTTCCCCTTGCTTCAATCACTACCCTTGGATTTTTTTTTAAAAAAAGATTTATTTATTTATTATGTATATAGTGTACACATCAGAAGAGGGCACAAGATCTCATTATGGATGGTTGTGAGCCACCATGTGGTTGCTGGGAATTGAACTAGGGACCTCTGGAAGAGCAGCCAGTGCTCTTTAACTTCTGAGCCATTTCTCTAGCCCCCCCCTGCAGTTTAAAAAGTAATTTGTGGACTAGCAAGATGGCTTAGCATGTAAAAGTGCTTTTTGCTAATAGTTATGACCTGAGTGTGATCCCTGCATCCTACACAGTGGAAGAAGAGAACTAGAAAACTTGTTCTTATACTCCACATATGT